ATGTGTGTCACAGGCCATATGGGTACCCGGCCAAATAACACGCCGTGAGGACACAGCCATTCCACTACAAAAGCATGGCAGCCCTGAGGTGGACACCCAGGAGAAAACAACAACAACTGCAACAACAAAACGACCTTTTCCTGCTGCTGGGACGACTGAAGTGGTAAAAGGCACTCTATTTTAGAACAGGTTTAGAACAGCTCTTGCAGAAGAGAGCGGCTACATGAAAACACTCCACTGCCTAACAGCTCTGAATTGTGAACAATATTTTACAAAACTCCTTTGGGCACAAGGGCCTCTACACCCTCATATGATAGTGTAAAGAACACTCCTTCAGAAAAAAAAGAATGCTCTGAATCATTAAAAACTAAAAAAAAAAAAAAGGACTCTGGAAACATCTGGTTTAAAAAGAAGAGACAAATAAATAAAGAGGGAGAGAGAAAACAGTAAGAGATTGAAGCACACTTGCCTTGGGACATTTTTTTATTATTATTTATTGTCAGAATACATTTTATTCTATCCTAAGAAGGACTGGAATTTTTTGTGGTGACTCAGATACCTGGCACTCTTGATACACAAAAGCAGGACCTAAGTAAGAGTGAGGTTATACTTCAACTCACAGCAATACGTGTGTGTATGTGTGCAGGAGTGTATGGTACCTTGTCAGCTTTGCTACGAGGTGTTTTGCTTTTGAGGTGCTGAAACAGGGAGACTGGGCAAAACGGCAGTAACGAACAAGCTCCCAAGCGCTCCTTCCTGTGCTTTGTTACACGGAAATTTCCCAGCAGCAACCTCTTAGCTTTGCCACTGGAAGAACCCCCTGACAGGATTCATTTATCCATTCCTTCTTCTTTTAAAAAAGATTTTGCCTGACTCTTTTACATAACATCACTTCTTTTCATGAGGTGAAAATTTTACTGTTTTGACTGTTTCATTTACTGGTCTCTACGGCAGGGAGAAGAGTTCTCCAGCTACACCCTCTCCAAGCAACTGCTTCAGTCTAGCGTCCAGCAAGCAAGCGCCTTTCCTGGGAAGCAACTCAGCACTGCATGGTTAATTAACTTCCTTTTTTATTACTCCTACCAAGCTGGTCTTGTTGCTGCTTCATGCACCAGCATTAATAATCATTGCTAAATTTCGTGTTCCTACTATCGATGTATCTATTTTTATCCTATATAACTGCAGAGATTGCATTTTAGTCAGTGTACTGCAGCAAGCATGACTGTACTCTGCTATCAAAAATGATCTGTTTTATGACTTAATTATACATGTCTTACCGATGAAGAATCAACATTTGTACTATGACACTTTTGAGAAACGTTCTACGTTCTTTAGAACATTTTAAAGAAAAACCCTAACTATGGATTGCTCATTGTAGCACTGCCTGTCAAAAAATTGTGTCAATATTTAAGTAAGTAAGTAGAGTGGTTATTCACTGGTCCCAAAATTCTTTTCTGGGTGCTAATACATAATATTTGTATATATATATATATGTTGTATATATATGTACTTAAATACATAATAATAATGTGAATTGAGAATAATATTTATCAAGCATGTTACTTTTAAAATATTTTTATTTGTATGAGATCATTACTTGATAAAGTTGCTGCTAACACCACAGACTTTTTACAACTCTGCTCTTCCCAGCATTCTGATATAAATATTACATAAAGTCAGTATAGTTCGTATTGAATTGATTAAAATCTGACCACAAAAAGACCATAAAAAAGCAATCGTGAATGTGTAATTTTCATCAAGTAAATTTTTTTAATGGGTAGGGAATCAGGGGGCTACAAATCTTGGTCTGACAGTATTTAGTTTCTTTTCAGAATAATGGAGAAGAAGCATAGTAAAAAAAAAGATAGAAAATGTTTAGTTAAATTGCTGTAGTAGTAAATGAGGAAGACATTACTGAACAGCTTGTCTTGGACTGGTTTGTAAGACAGGTGCACAACAGCAAGGGAAATAATACACCATTTACATGCTGATATGGTTATGTTATACCAGTAGGCAGTCCAACCGAACTGTCTCCAAGACCAATCTCTAAACGTAGCTCAGCTTCTTGGAATACAATTTTAATGACAAAAAATGTTGCTATGTGATATTCAGCTGCTAAAGACAATGCTCCAATTGAGACAGCAAGTGCTAATCTTAGACCTGTAAGTAAATTAATTTTGGTAGAAAAATGGTACAAAATACAATCTGAAAAATAAATTAAATCTAGGGATAAGGTGCAAACTTTTAGTAACGAGCACTGGAATGATAGATTTATAAATATTGTGAGCTCCCTATCACTGGAAGACTCTAAATCAAAGAGTATGTGTGTAGCAAAGGTGTCACATTTCAATCCATTGCTATAAACGGGCTGGAAAAGTTACAGGACTACAGAAGTTTGGCCTACATTATGAAAGGGGTTCAAATAGGTGATCATAATCATCTGATACGGCTTTAAAGTTTTAGAACAGGCTTACTTTAAAAATACTGCTTTGAGGAAGTAAGATATTTGGACAGTAACAGAGTATCACCATTTAATTAGTCACTGAAGGCTGCTTCCATTTGAAAAAAAAAAGGCAGAATTTACCACCAGGTACTCACTTTGCCTTCTTTTCCCTTTGAAATCCAAAGCAGCACTTATCAATATCTGAATAAGACCACAGTTGTAACATTTTTTGAGCTGCTGTTTTAATTAAACTGAAGACTTTATCTAGCTCCAAGTACCATTTTAAAGTGAAATGCAAAAAATGTCTTTGCCTCCACCTCACTTACTTAACCATAAAAAAAGGACTCCTCTACCTACATTTCCTTTCAATCACACAATGATTTATTTTTATAGTAAATTAAATACTTTTAGTCAGGCACAAGCCTAAGAAATAAAAGTTAGTAAATAGTAACTATAAAACGTGTATTCATATTTTACTACCAAGATTCACCCTAAGTGTACTTGAGAGTCAATAAATGTTTAAGATTGTTGAGATTTGAAATATATTCTCTTCAACAGAGTTCTCTTCCTGTAGGAACCTTGTGTTCCCATGCAGTGAGCAGACAACTGCTTAGAAACCCACAGGCTACAAATTATTATCTATCTAGTGAATTTTCAGACAACATATCACTGAATGTGACACTTTATATCACAAAATTCAGTGCTTTATCAAAATGGGACACAAATTCGAATGAATAAACTACACATGAAATAATTTATCACTTCCTTTTTAGCAAAGATAACAGCTCATTAATTTTGCTGTTTCCGAGAGAAGCTCACAGTAGCCTCATAAAAAACACACTAACTTATCATCTGTTTTTTCATCTCATAATGGAAGGCTAAACCTTGTACCACTGCTAGTCATCCCCAATGTCCAGTGAGTTTGGAGAACACCTCAGGCTTCTAAACTACTTATGTTTCACAGCACTATCCTCTGTTCCTTTTGTCTTTTGCCTCATAGCTCTGGAGAACCTAGTCCAATACACACAGTGAGGGTTGTAACAGTGGTGTTCCTTGGCACTGTGACACTCTTTAAGCCTGCAGGGATTTGAACTGCTTCAGACCTCAGGGAGATCTTAGAGAAGGATGAATTAATAGCACACGAGCATTTACAATGACAGCGCTGTCTCAGTCATCTGGATCCAAGCCTAAACTACTTAACTTAAAGGACTGCAAATATTTTTCAAAAGGGCTTAAGGTTCCAGAATCATTGGTCAGATTAAAAAATCACCATCTCTTTCATCTCCAGCTCCCTCAATTACTTGTTCTCATTCATGCAAAAAGTTATTTTAAAATTAGATCAATGTCCTGCTTTTGCTCACCATACAGCCCAAGAGAGAGTTGTATTAGTGTAACTGAGAAGAAGATGCTGGAGTGGAAGGAAGTAGATGAGATCTCACTCCCAAGAAATCTTGAGTTGGCAATGAAAGAAATGTCACAGGAACAATAATCTTCGTGATTTAGATGGGCAAGTTACATTTTCACAGATCTGACTGAGATTCATAGAGGTTTCAATTCCATTTGCATTTGGTATGAGTTATGCCTCTGTGTGCCTGAAGGCCAGATGCCGCACGGCATCACAGCAGAAGGTGTGGACAGGATCTACTGTAGGTCTTGAAAGGAGCCAAGTGCTTAGGTTCTATTTAAAGCAACTGGCTTAAGGGCCTAGAAAATTTAAAAATCCAATTAGGCACTAAGTACTTGGGAATCTCTCCCTAAAATATTTTTGATATAGAAGTTAAGAAGAAATGAAAATGGAACACAGACCCATGGGTGCTCTTGAAAACACCTATAGAGAGTTTTTAGATTAAGCAACCTAAATTCTAAAACACTAATGAAAAACATGATATATGTAATTGGTTAATTAAAGTAATTTCATTAATGAGTGTTTTAGTGTTGCATCTGCTACTCTAATTTTATCTCAAATACTTGCAAATACCTTGCTTGCAGTTTCTCTGAATGTGGAGGGCATATCTGATTTCATTATGAAGTTGCTCAGAGAATGAGTCAACTCTTTTTATATGTTCCTTAGGAATATTTAGGTTTTCCTGCTCATTACTGGCATGTTTACTGTGCTTATTGGTTGAGTGGAAGTACATATAAAAGTTTACATCATTTTATTTGTAGATTCTGGGAGAACTACAAACTTTATAGAAAAGACTCTGCCACAGTGATCTAGGAGCTTGCAGGAAACTGCTGGTCTTATGAAACATTCAAGTCTTATTCAGGATATTTCCAGATATTAAAAGGTTGTTTTTTGAGTGAAGAAATGATACAGGGGGAGTCTTGCAACAGAAAAAAAAATCCTTCAGCTGCAGCCTTCAGCTAAGATTTCTATTTGTAAAAGAAAAAGAAAAAAAAAGAAAAACCAGAAGTGCAAGGCTGAGTCTTATACAGCAATGGTCATTCTGTGATAAGTTTATGGTGTGGATTCAGCCATTCAAAACCACAGTGCCTGACTGTTTTAGAATTGAAAGCTACTTTTATTGTACTTGAGTTTCCCTTCAGTAAAACTTACTTTCATCTCCAGTTTCAAATTCAAACTTCTGGCTATAGCCGCTGTATCCTGCTGCCGTCCTGACTCTGATATGAAATATATACTTGGTGGCTGGCTTGAGACCTGTGACGATAACACTTGGAGCCTTGGACCTTGTGGAAGAATAGCTGAGCTGCTCATGCTCCTGAGGGACAAAAGAGGGGAGAAACGGTATCAAGTTGAGTCGCACAAACTTTGCAAAAGTGATACAGCAGAATTAAAGCTCCACATTCTTCTCAAGAATGTAAAATGTGCCTATAAAAGGAGGTGCAGGTATGGATTTCAGTACTTTGATTGTGCTATAATCACAACATATGATATGGTCTTGAGTTAGATTCCCATTTTTTGTCCTTAGTCTTGCTTATAAATATGTCACATCTTTGTTACTTGAGTTAGTAACTACATTGCAGTTAAAACAATATGGATTAGTAGAAGACTACATTTGCAGTAAATGGTAACTGCCATGGTAGCTAATTTTTTTCCACCATGGACAAATTAGGAGTTCAGTAACTACTAGAAAACTGTAAAGTAAAGATGTGGGAGTATTCAAATACCCGCTACTCACTTCTACCCGCAGGTAGTGCCAAAATGCCGGCGCTATCCGTGGGTAGACCTGTGGGTAAAAGAAAATAAAAATTAACTTTTTCTTTAAAGTTTGTAAACTTCTAGCATGGTTCAACTACTTCACTACTTGCTCTTGAATGTGATTTGTCTTTCCAGCTGCTTGTAATGTGATTGTACATGAAATTCGCTTACATGCACTTAAAGCAGAAACACTCTGAACGTTCCCCTGCTCATCTCCCAGCACTTGATCTCAGGTGTCTGCTGAGACCTCCCCACTTCTGCAGAAGTCGCTGGGAATGAGGGTGTGCAGAGCTACTGAACAGCAGCTGGAACAGGCCAGAGAGCAGCCACGGCGCTTGCTGCCCTGACACAGCGCACAGCTTTGCTCAACACAGCGTTGCTGACATTTACACATGAGGGGGGAATTAAAAGAGCAGAAAGTTAATTACCTTTCACTAGTTACTACCACTTGATAAATCAGTAATCTGCAATATTTCATATGGTGCCTTAAGGTTACATGTACTGTATTTTAAGAGGCTTTGTCCCCAGATGAACAGAGCTGTCCTTGGCATACGCTCGATAATCCACTCACGGGGTTAGTACGCCACGGTGTGCCATAGGGCACCATATACATTTATTATACAGCAATATTGCAGGGAGTGGAAGCTATTTAAATGATGCTTCCAGCCTGTTAATAAGGAAACATTCTGGTTCACATAAGAAATATAACCAGGAGAGGAATAGATCTCAGTTAGATTTTGCTAGACTCTTCTGAGCAACACACATGCATTTTTTACATAAAACATAGTCAAATTCACTTATGGTGTAACAGTCACACTAGCATATGGCAGGAAGTATATCAGCATTCCCCTCATAGATGTACAAGGAAATGACCAAGAAAATCAAATTTTATAAAAAAATAAACACACAAAAAGGACCTTACAATTCTGTTAAGTGACTGAAGAGCAGGAAGGTAGGGAAAAATGACCAATACTCAAAATTATTGTTTTTCATGATTAATTCAAACAATGAAAATAATGTGAGAATCTGTAAAAAGTTGAAGTGCTAATATACAGTCTAAAACCACATTTTGAAATAGCAAAGAATATACATTTAAATTGAAATATTAAGACACAGTGTGTGTGTGTGTAGCCTTACAGATGGAGAGTGCAATCAATACACATAAGCTAACAAGTTTTATAAATATCAAAAAACCTCTCTCAATCAACTGATATATTGTAACTTTGCTTCGAACAGTTTGGTGGTCTTGAAACTTTATTTTTTCTGAGATATTAAAAAAAAATCTTTTTTCTTCTGACATAAGACCAAGCTATTAAGATGATAGATTTTTTTTGTTGTTGTTTGAGATTAAGCTTGCTCAGCTTGAAAAATAGCATGTATTTGAGCAAAAAGGGGAAAAAAAAAACGTATTATAGGTATACTTACTGGTTAGTAAGGAGAACTGAGGAGCTCAGGAGAACTGAAACAGAATGCTTGAGGTTGGAAGGGGGCTTTAGAGATCATCTAGTCCAACTCCAAAACACGGAGAACTCATGACTTCTACAGGCTGCTGAGCCTAAACAATAATTTCCAGTGTTCCAGCAAAACGTCTACCTGGTATGTGTTCCATGAAAGAAGGAATTTCACTGCATGGTGTAAGAGTCTCCCCAGAGGACCTTGCAGCTTGAGGTCAAGTACTTTTTATAATTTACTGGTTTATTCCGATCTGCTGGAGAGATTGTAGAAATAACGTTTCAGAGAAAATTGATGGAACTGGAAGAAGAAAGGAGGTTCCTTCTGAAGAGGATAGAAATGGAAATTTTGTTGAAGGTGGAGACTCCCTAGGATCTAATGCTAAAAATTTACTGGAGAAAACTGCAGAACAAGGTCAGTGCCAGCCAAGAATTTGGAATGACTTCTGAATAGCTGAATCAGACCTGTATTTGCTGAACTGTACTGTAGTTTTGGTAATGTAATAGTGGTAGCAGTGACATAACTGATAAATATTAATATCAACTATTTACGAAAGCTATTATTATATCTAGAGCTATATTTACCTACAGAGATAGATGCAGATCTAATGATTTGTTACTTTTGTAGTGTGACATAATGCGATGACCCTGGAGAAAGGATCTAGGCATACCCAGACTGTGCTAATAAAATGTTACTTATGTTGCCAGACATCCCAGGCTGTTTAAAACACTGAAGGCTGTTAAAAACAAAAAACAAAAACAAAATGTGAAATTATAACAAGGGGCTCCTAAATATAATAGATACCTTGAAAACGCAGGTACAAAAAGCCAGCAAAGTCCCCAGGGATATAAACACAGTTTACACATGGCCGATTACTGGTCACTAAGAACACAGCATTGGGAGCTAGATAAAACTAAAACAAAATCTAGGTATAATACAGAGCAAAGAACAATACTGGACATACAGAAAAGGGTAAGCTTAAAACCAGCAGAAGGCAGAGATGCTGGAAAATTTTTAAATATCAGTTTCAGTGTTATTGGGAATGAGCTGAGTATTTTGAATAGCTCAGCATTTTGGATAAGTGTGATATTATTGTAACTAAGCTGATAACCAAGGTTTGATTGTGCTGCTAAGACTCAGGCCTTCAGTAAATGTTTGGCTTGGCATAGAGGCTAGATTTCTTTATCCCACATCAATGGCACGAGGTGGTCTGGTACTTCACTCTGGAGACCTGGCTATAATTTGGATGTAACAGTTGAAGGCCATTTCCTTTACCCAGACTACCTTCCTACTTGAGATCAAGTATTATGGGTTTTACACTGAACAATATATTTATACAGCACCACTGAAGCCAAAAGACCCTACAAACTTTATACAAAAATTGCTCTGGCTGCCACTCAAAAATATCTGAAATATATTCTCAGAGCAGCTCTCATCTGCCTTGCAGAATTTGTTATGGATTATCCCACATACTCAATCTTTTAATTTCTAAATATCATTTTTATACAACATATATTTATGACAAGCTAGAAGTTACTTCTATAGAACATAGCACTTGGGATCTAGTGGGGCCCTAGACAGAGGCAGAGCAGGCAGTGATCAAGTAAATATATACTTTTTTTGGTCTGTCAAAGATAATGAGTGTAACGAACTGTGATGGTAACATTTAATCAACAAATTCATTTGCATCCCTAAGAAACGAGAGGCTTTTTTTCATTCGAGGATGACTGGGAAAATGGCTTTCCATGGATCAATAAAGACAGCAATAAATGTCAGAAGGCTTACACTTCTTTCTCAGGGCTTTGTAGCAGACTAACAGATAAAGAACTCTGGGGGAGCTGACTATAGGAATAATTCTACTAGAGTTTTAAAGAAGAAAACCTAGAACTTTCTCTGCAGCTAAGAGGTATAGGGCTAGAGATTTAATGTGCCAGAGATTTAAATACCATTATTTTCCAAAATTTACCTATACTTACTGTGATACAGTTAGTAGCAAGTATGGCCAACAATATATTTGCTCCTTCAACAGCTGAAAGAACAATTTTAAATTTTCTTCCTGCTAGTAACGGCTCAAATCAAAGAAAAAATATATTTCTGATAACTGAATTTTAAACAATCTGTTGCATGTTTGAATATTTTCAGATCATCAGTTAAACTATACGAGTAATATTTGAAAATGTGAAAAAAAAATTGAAATAAAATATTTTCACTGTTGTCAGTGAATCATCATTTGTAGCTGATAAGGCTAAAATTAATTTTGAAAAACATTACTTGGCCGATTAAAAATGAATATTGGATTCTGGCTTGCTGCAGTTTATATAGTAGTATAGCAAGGGTACTAGATGTATGCTGAATTTGAAAACAGTGTAATTAAAAAGTAAGGTTACTTTCTTTATAATCCAGAAAAGTTTCTGCATTACCAAAAACTTTTTCAACCCTTAATACACCCTTAATGCCGAATAAGCACTAGCGGACATCTCTTTCAGATTCTGCAGATCTTAATCTGTTTTTCAGATATTTAAACCTAACTAAGTCTGGATTGTCCAGTCGCAATTCTTAGGACGATGATAATGAAAAATCTTAGTAATTGATCAACCTTTTTACTTCTTTCACAACGTAACACAAAACGACAATGTTTTTAGACAACCACAATATGGCTTTGTAGAAGCCAATGCTTGCAGTTCATATGTCATTGTGCTCCATCACTGAGATGCAGAGGGCTCTCTCTCCCCCTCTTCGTCCTGGGGGATCAGGAGGGGAATATTCCTCCTTCCTTGCAGACCTCCATCCACCACAGGGTCTGCAAGCGCCTATTCTGAAGCATGCATGATCATAAACGATATGGCTTGCCTCATACACTTTTATTTATTATTGTGAAGGAGAGAGGACACTTCTGTCACTTTGGCACACCTGGGAATCAAGCTCCAGCAGCCGGTGTTGGAGAACACTGGTGCTCAAACGCTGGAACTTAGCCGTGTTTTGTTTCAAGACTTAATAGCACAAAATGAGCCATTCCTGCCTAGAGTCATACAGAAGACAGATCTCCAAAGAATAACAGGTATTTGATACGATTCTCTACCACCAAATATTTTAATCTTGCTGTGAGAATTTTGGCTCCCACAGGCTACCATACTCTTCTGAAATAACCTCTAGTGCCACCATGTAGGCCAAGATAATTTTTCCTTGCTTTATGACAAAGTTCAGTACTAACCTGAATTACTTTCCATGATATTTGCCTGGATAACGTGACTTCTGCACCAGTGTTATGCCTATTTTGGATTTTTTTTTTATACAGTAGTGCTGTCAATTCAGAGAGACAACTCAGTGACACTTTGGGACTGCTGGTGAGGACTACCATTAAACGATGCTCTATGATGAGGTATGGAAAAGTGAGTACTGAGGGAAGTGCATAGATACCCGTTGTACTCAGTCGGCTAGCAGGCATTTGTGCCAGTGATGAATTTGTCTGTGTCTGAGGCTGAAAGGGGGCTCTGGCCTCCTTCCAAAACTGAATTTACAGAAGGACAGACACCACAACCCCATATATATTTGGAACTAGCTCAATGACTCTACAGT